ATTTGATTTGATTTGATTCAATAACCGACATTACAGCACTCGGGGCAGTCCCATAAGCACTCCGTCCCCATCTTCAGCAGCCAGCGAAGAGTTCCGATACTAATGGTGCCAGTAGCTTCCATCTTGCCTTTCCTCTGAGCCTTGAGCTTCTGCCAGAACCTCTCGTCACCCCCAACTGCATAAAACTCACCAGACTGTAGTGATCCATCTGCTCCTCCGCATTGTACTCGCTCTCCCTCAAGGCACTAACCACGTCTGCCCTATCATGTAGCAGTATTCCACCAAGTTGTGCAGAGCCAGCAAGTCTGTCCGCCTGTTCATTTCCCAACACACCGGCCGGAGCCGGTGAAAAAATCCAGACAATACTCCTCACTCGTGTCCTCCGCAGCGTAAACCTAATTGTAACACATCAACTGTTTATTAATGCTTCTTCTTCAAACGCAGACGTAGCTGCAGTTTCTCATCCATCCCTCCATACATCTACCCACCCATTCATCCTTCCATCTTTTCTTTCTTTCTTCTTTCTTTCTTTTTTTCTTTCTTTCTTTCTTTCTTTCTTTCTTTCTTTCTTTCTTTCTTTCTTTCTTTCTTTTTTTCTTTCTTTCTTTCTTCCTTTCTTTCTTTCTTTCTTTCTTCCTTTCTTTCTTTCTTTCTTTCTTTCTTTCTTTCTTTCTTTCTTTCTTTCTTTCTTTCTTTCTTTCTTTCTTTCTTTCTTTCTTTCTTTCTTTCTTTCTTTCTTTCTTCTTTCTTTCTTTCTTTCTTCTTTCTTTCTTTCTTTCTTTTCTTTCTTTCTTTCTTTCTTTCTTTTCTTTCTTTCTTTCTTTCTTTCTTTTCTTTCTTTCTTTCTTTCTTTTTTCTTTCTTTCTTTCTTTCTTTCTTTCTTTCTTTCTTTCTTTCTTTCTTTCTTTCTTTTTCTTTCTTTCTTTCTTTCTTTCTTTCTTTCTTTCTCTTTCTTCTTTCTTTCTTTCTTTCTTTCTTTCTTTCTTTCTTCTTTCTTTCTTTCTTTCTTTCTTTCTTTCTTTATTTCTTTCTGTTCTGTCTGTCTGTCTTTCTTCCTTCCTTCTTTCCGAATAGAAAACGCAAACAATAATGGATGATATTCAAATACATTTCACAATTATTTCAAGTATTTTAAAAACAGGAACAAATTGAACTGGCTTGATAAAACTGACCTAAAACAAATAATATTAAGGATATATATATATATATATATATATATATATATATATATATATATATATATATATATATATATAATATATATATATATATATATATATATATATATATATATATATATGTATATATATATATATATATATATATATATATATATATATATATATATATATATATATGGCTAAAGTGATCATGTTCCATTTATAGTAGAGTTTAGATTAAAACTGAAGACCATAAGAACATCAAGTCCAAAGCTGTGGACAAAAATGATGGCCAGTACACGTGGGACACAGCTGTGGACAAAAATGATGGCCGGTACACGTGGGACACAGCTGTGGACAACAATGATGGCCAGTACACGTGGGACACAGCTGTGGACAAAAATGATGGTCAGTACACGTGGGACACAGCTGTGGACAAAAATGATGGCCAGTACACATGGGACACGGCTGTGGACACAAATGATAGCCAGTACATGTGGGACACGTCTGTGAACAAAAATGATGGCCAGTACATGTGGGACACAGCTGTGGACAAAAATGATGGCCAGTACACGTGGGACACAGCTGTGGACAACAATGATGGCCAGTACACGTGGGACACAGCTGTGAACAAAAATGATGGCCAGTACACGTGGGACACAGCTGTGAACAGAAATGATGGCCAGTACACGTGGGACACAGCTGTGAACAAAAATGATGGCCAGTACAAGCGGCATGATGATGATGATGATGATAATTAAGAAGAAGGAGAGGGAAAAGGCGAAGATGAAGAAGAAGAAGAAGAAAAATAAGAAGAAGAAGCAGAAGAAGAAGAAGAAGATGAAGAAGAAGAAGAAAAAGAAGAAGACGAGACAGCAGTAGCAGCAACAGCAACAGTAGTAGTAGTAGTAATAGTAGTAGTAGTAGTAGTAGTAGTAGTAGTAGTAGTAGTAGTAGTAGTAGTAGTAGTAGTAGTAGTAGTAGTAGTAGTAGTAGTAGTACTAGTAGTAGTAGTAATAGTAGTAGTAGTCGTAGTAGTAGTAGTAATAGTAGTAGCAGCAGCAACAGCAGCAGTGGTAGTAGTAGTAGTAGTAGTAGTAGTAGTAGTAGTAGTAGTAGTAGTAGTAGTAGTAGTAGTAGTAGTAGTAGTAGTAGTAGTAGTAGTAGTAGTAGTAGTAGTAGTAATAGTAGCAGCAGTAGTAGTAGTAGTAATAGTAGTAGTAAGTAGTAGTAGCAGTAGTAGTAGTTGTAGCAGCAGCAGCAGCAGTAGCAGTAGTAGTAGTAAATGTACCAGATTTTAATTCCCAAAACATTCACATCAGTAAAAGATCTTTCCTGGATTCATGATCCCATTGGGATCCAACGCCTGTTTGACCTGTTGCATTGCACTGACCCCGTCTTCCCCAACTTCCTGCAGGAGATATTTCCTTTTGCCCAACCCGATCCCATGCTCGCCAGTACATGTGCCATTGAGCGCCAAGCTCAGTCTGTGGAACAACCAAGAACACATTAGCTTCTCTCTCCCCAAAGCAAAAAGCCGGCACCATCAAAATAAACGAAATACCCCTGAGAGATGATAAAGAGCCCACATACCTAGGAGTCACATTTGATGACAGGTTGACATGGAGAAAACATATCAACAAGGCAGCAACCAAAGCCAGGAGGAAGACAGCAATACTAAGAAAACTAAGTGGAACCACATGGGGAGCAGATGGGAAAATACTCAATAAAGTATACAAGCAGAGCATACTTCCACACTTGGAATATGGGTCAACTGCATGGTGTCCAGCATCTAGTACCACATTAAAGGAGTTAGACAAAGTGCAAAATCAAGCGCTCAGAGTCATCACAGGAGGGATGAAATCAACCCCCATATTAGAAATGGAGAAAGCTGGGAAAACACAGGCACTGAGAGAACGCAGAGATACAAAGTTGCAAATACAAGCTGAAAAGTTCCTCAGTATGCCAGATCACCCGATGGAAAATAGATTTAAGAACCTAGCCTTGGGACGGTTGAAAAGAAGCAGCTTTATACACCAAGCAAAAAAAATATGTAGACAAACTCCTGACCTTCCAGAAATTGGCTGCCCACTTAAAAGTATTCCGGAACAAACCCCATGGAGAGAAAAATGTAAACTAACGGTACAAATGCAGACAAATGTGAAAGGGATATTTGACAAGAAAGAGCAAGATAGTGTACAACGCAAAATGGCCACCCTCAGTTATATTGATGAAGAATACCCACAAGAACAATGGGCAGAGTCTATACAGATGGGTCCGCAGAAAGTGCAGTTAGAAATGGTGGTGCTGGAGTGTACATCGAATTCCCAGATGGTACTAGGGATAAGTCCAGCGTACCAACCGGGAAGTACTGCCATAACTACGATGCAGAAACCCAGGCTATTAAGATAGCTACAGAGAAACTGCTAAATACCAACCTTGGCTCACAGTATGTGGTAATGCTTACAGATGCTAAATCAATACTTGAAGCACTCCAGTCTAGGAAACTACCAGAATTGCAAACACTGCTGACACAACTCAGCGTTCAGCGAAGAGTCGTAATGCAGTGGATACCGTCTTATTGTGGAGTGCCTGGAAATGAGAAAGCTGATCAACTGGCAGGGGAAGGTGCGACAGAAGAGCAGCCAGATGTACCAGTCACATACCACCAAAAGAAAAGAATCATTAAATCGATCAGGAAACCACCAGCCCCAGCACAAGACGACTATTTTATTATGGACAGACCAGAACAAGTCATTATCTTCCGCCTCAGAACAGGGCACAACCGATTACGTAACCACATGTACACAAAATTCAAGATAGGTGTATCAGCCATGTGCACCTGTGGAAATGTGCACCAGACCGCAGAGCATGTACTCCAGGACTGCACCGATTTTGACACATTAAGGCAAACTTTTTGGCCAGAAAGAACAACAGTGGAACGTAAACTCTATGGACCACTGAATGAACTAACAACGACAGTGAAATTTATACAAGAGACAAAACTGCTGATATAGATAACTTATTTCAGGCGAACGAAAGAAGAAGAAGAAGACATTAGCTTCGGCCTCTTCCTAAGTCTTCACGAGATTGATTCTTCTTGAAGACTTCCACAGATATCTCGCTTCACGTCCGTGGATATTTCACTTCACGTCCTCGGATATCTCGCTTCATGTCTACGGATAACTCGCTTCATGTCCACGGATATCTCGCTTCATGTCCACGGATATCTCGCTTCATGTCTACGGATATCTCGCTTCACGGCCACGGATATATCGCTTCATGTCTACGGATATCTCGCTTCACGGCCACGGATATCTCGCTTCATGTCTACGGATATCTCGCTTCATGTTCACAGATATCTCGCTTCACGTCCACAGATATCTCGCTTCATGTCTACGGATACCTCGCTTCACGGCCATGGATATCTCGCTCCATGTCTACGGATATCTCGCTTCATGTCTACGGATATCTCGCTTCACGGCCACGGATATCTCGCTTCATGTCTACGGATACCTCGCTTCATTTCTACGGATATCTCGCTTCATGTCCACGGACATCTCGCTTCATCTTCACGGATATCTCGCTTCATGTCCACGGATATCTCGCTTCATGTCTACGGATATCTCGCTTCATGTCTACGGATAACTCGCTTCACGGACACGAATATCTCGCTTTACGTCCACGGATATCTCGCTTCACGTCCCCAAAAATCTCGCTTCTACCATTCAACAACAACAAAACTACAACAAAAAGAGGGGGGAAAAGGGAGTGGGGAGGGGGGGGGGGTGACAGTGGCGTAGCAAAGTCATGTGGTACACAGTGTCAAAAATGTCTCGTGGTCCCCCTCCCATCACTGAAGAAAAATTATTGCCCCCTCCCCCTTTTTTCACCCACATACATAAATATATATATATTTTAATAAATATTTTAAAAGTTTGAATCACTTATGTTTGCCATTTTGTCAACTCCCTCCCCCCCCCCCAACCCCTTCCCCCTTTCCGATGTCACTTAGGGCTGTCGGCACGCGAAACCCTATCCAACAGCACCGATGAAAACAAAATTGGGGGTGCGTCTTCCTGGCAAAGTGCTCCATCCGTTTACCAGGCGCCCAGAAAGTCATGGGTTCGTTTCGCTGATTGCCGTTCACAAGTAGAAGTGTGCACTTTGTGGGTTCTCTGATCTGGCGGCTCCCTACCGTGTCAGAGACCCAGGCAGAAGGGATCACATCTGATGTAATTAAAATGGGTTTTCTCTCTGTAAAATTGTTGTCGAGTTCAGCAATGAATCTAAGCCACAAACACAATAGACAGAAACTGTGATTTGGTTTAAAAGAACATTATCGTGAATTTTGAAACAAGGCACGGGGATGTGGCACAACAAGACACCGTGGTGATCTGATACAACAGGATATGGTGATCTGGTACAAGACACTGTGGTGATCAGATACAACAATTCATGGTGATCTGGTACAACAAGACACTGTGGTGATCTGGTACATCAGGACATGGTGATCTGGTACATCAGGACATGGTGATTAGATATAACAGGACATGGTGATCTGGTACAACAGGACATGGCCATGTGCTACAAGACACTGTGGTGCTCTGGTACAACAAGACATGGTGATATGCTACAACAAGACACTGTGGTGATCTGGTACAACAGGACATGGTGATATGCTACAACAAGACACTGTGGTGATCTGGTACAACAGGACATGGTGATGTGCTACAAGACACTGTGGTGATCTGGTCGTTGTAGGGGCGACGCTTCCTGGTGGATGTAATGTCCTAAGTCCCTTCCCCAGCTAATAGTGAGGGTTCTGCTGGGGTGACCGTTTATTAACCCTCTCATAATGCTTCAGGTCAAAATGGACGCTAGGCACGGCCACTTTTTTTTAGCCGTGGCCAATTTTTTTGCTTCTGCCAGACGGTGGCCGTTGCATTTTACTCCATTTATAGACTGGAAGGATATAGTTTCGTTGCCCAGCTTCTGAGTTGAGTGCATGGCGTGACACTGTGAGCTGCAGATTTCATTTGAACGGTTATAAACATTTTGTGTGTTTTTCGTTGGCACAGGAGCGGAGCAACTATGGAGTGACCAGTTTGCTATGAAGCTGAAACTAAGATTACCCTTTGACCAGATTACTGAAGAGGCATCATTGTCATTTGCTACAACTGGGCACCCGGTGGTCAGGTACAACAGCACATACACACTGACAATGGCGAAGGCAGGCATGGCGTGTGCAGAGTGGTAAGCATCGTTTCTAAAATGGAGACCTGTTAGAGTCTGTTGGATTGTTTTCCTAGAGTATGCCGGTGCGTTGGGAAAAGAACAGTCAGACAGAGTGGTAAGCATCGTTTCTCAAATGGAGACCTGTTAGAGTCTGTTGGATTTTTTCCCTAGAGTATGCCTGTGTGTTGGGAAAAGAACAGTCAGACAGAGTGGTAAGCATCGTTTCTCAAATGGAGACCTGTTAGAGTCTGTTGGTTTTTTTTCCCTAGAGTATGCCGGTGCGTTGGGAAAAGAACAGTCAGACAGAGTGGTAAGCATCGTTTCTCAAATGGAGACCTGTTAGAGTCTGTTGGATTTTTTCCCTAGAGTATGCCGGTGTGTTGGGAAAAGAACAGTCAGATAGAGTGGTAAGCATCGTTTCTCAAATGGAGACCTGTTAGAATCTGTTGGATTTTTTCCCTAGAGTATGCCGGTGTGTTGGGAAAAGAACAGTCAGACAGAGTGGTAAGCATCGTTTCTCAAATGGAGACCTGTTAGAGTCTGTTGGATTGTTTCCCTAGAGTATGCCGGTGCGTTGGGAAAAGAACAGTCAGACAGAGTGGTAAGCATCGTTTCTCAAATGGAGACCTGTTAGAGTCTGTTGGATTTTTTCCCTAGAGTATGCCTGTGTGTTGGGAAAAGAACAGTCAGACAGAGTGGTAAGCATCGTTTCTCAAATGGAGACCTGTTAGAGTCTGTTGGTTTTTTTTCCCTAGAGTATGCCGGTGCGTTGGGAAAAGAACAGTCAGAGTGGTAAGCATCGTTTCTCAAATGGAGACCTGTTAGAGTCTGTTGGATTTTTTCCCTAGAGCATGCCGGTGCGTTGGGAAAAGAACAGTCAGACAGAGTGGCTAGCTAAGTGATAGGCTCATTGAGATGATCCTCGTGGGGTTTCTGAAACCTCTTTTTATATAAATAATAATATGCCTTTTACCCTCCTTACAAGCATGTCGTGAAAGGCCTGTCTGTAAATCACAGCACTGTAATCCAACTACACTATTAAGGGCAAACGCAGAAGAAGAAAAAGAAGAAGAAGAAGAAGAAGAAGAAGAAGAAGAAGAAGAAGAAGAAGAAGAAGAAGAAGAAGAAGAAGAAGAAGAAGAAGAAGAAGAAGAAGAAATAGAAAAAGAAGAAGAAGAAGAAGAAGAAGAAGAAGAAGAAGAAGAAGAAGAAGAAGAAGAAGAAGAAGAAGAAGAAGAAGAAGAAAAAGAAGAAGAAGAGGGCAAAGGAAAAGGAGGAGGAGGTGTAGTAAAGACTTTTACGGAGCAAATAAACAATACAGAAGAGCGAGTCGACCAAGAAAGAACAACGAAAACAACAGAATCCAGAGAAAGGTCTCGACATTCACTACTGCAGGAAAAGGGAAGACGAACACACAGTCAGACTACAACTGGAGGCATTAGTACTGGAGCTCTTCGTTAGCTGCTGAAGATAAAACGGGAGCGTTTATGAGAATATCTCTTATGTTGTAATATCGCCCCCCCCCCCTTCCCCGTGTGGGTTCCGTGGCCCCCATTATGGGGGAAACAAGTATAGACCCACTGCCATCCCAACAAGCATGACGTAGGAGTCTACTAAGTGGGAGTGCATCTGCCCGTCTTCGAGGCCAAGATAGGAGACAATATAACCAGCTTCTCATGGGAACAATTAGTAGAAGTACTTTGCAGTGGCTGCTACATCGGAGGACTGAGCACGCATGGAAATGTCCAGTGTGCAGTGACGTCGATTGTGATAACAGAAAATAGCAGCCAGGAACAACCAGCTGCACCTAAATAAATCAGTAAAACGGATGTACACGCAACATGCAGGCCCTGGCACAAAGCCAAAGTCAAAATGGACGAACAATTAGGACTTTCTGCTGGAGCTTACAGCCGATGAACGAAGAAGAAGGAGAAGAAGAAGTAATATCGGTTCTTAACCACTAAGTAACAGGGACAAAAGACAGGGGGTATACACACACACACACTGTCAGATCAGATACTTACAAAACCATCTGCTTTGAGATGTCGAGAACTGTGTTCAAAGCTGTAGTATCCCCAGGTTTTATAGGGAAAAATACATGAAAGTTTCCATCCCCAACATGACCAACAATGGGCCCTAACAGGAGAATCAAGTTTCATACATGAAAACACAGTTGAATACTTGACAATAGTTTAGTACAGGAAAGCACAGTTTTATAGACGAAAACAGTTTAATACACAGAAACACAGTTTAATACAAGAAAACACAGATTATTATATGAAAACACACTTTATTACTCGAAAACTGAGATTAACAGACGAAAACGTAGATAAATAAACGAGAACATTGATTAATATATAAAACCATTTTTTTTAAATATTAAAACCTAGCTTAAAATGTGAGAACTTATGCGAAAACACACCAATACGTGGGAGAAAAATTAATACATTGAAATTTTTATTATTTCATTAAAAACACATTTTTTTAACTAATGTGAATCGAGATTAAAAAGTGAAAACTTGAAAGATTTACATACATAACAACACTGAGCTAATGCTTTCTTAGATTTGTATCCGAATAGCAGCTCTTTGAGTTACTATGTGTTAATCTTTAAGGTTGTATTAAAAACTAGTATAACACACAACACAATTTAGTACATTATAAGTATACATTATTATTATGTGAAACTTAAACTCATGACAACTTACATGTAGACAGTTATACTATTTACACACCCCTCATCTATGATGTTTATCCACCCGTCAGCTATGATGTTTATCCACCCCTCAGTTGTGATGTTTATCCACCCTCAGCTATGATGTTTATCCACCCCTCAGTTGTGATGTTTATCCACCCCTCAGCTATGATGTTTATCCACCCTCAGTTGTGATGTTTATCCACCCTCAGCTAGGATGTTTACCCACCCTTCAGCTGTGATGTTTATCCACCCCTCAGCTATGATGTTTATCCACCCTCAGTTGTGATGTTTATCCACCCTCAGTTGTGATGTTTATCCACCCTCAGCTAGGATGTTTACCCACCCCTCAGCTGTGATGTTTATCCACCCCTCAGCTGTGATGTTTATCCACCCCTCAGCTATGATATTTATCCACCCCTCAGCTGTGATGTTTATCCACCCCTCAGCTGTGATGTTTATCCACCCCTCAGCTATAATGTTTATCCACCCTCAGTTGTGATGTTTATCCACCCCTCAGCTGTGATGTTTACCCACCCCTCATTTGTGATGTTTATCCACCCTCAGCTGTGATGTTTACCCACCCCTCAGTTGTGATGTTTATCCACCCTTCAGTTGTGATGTTTACCCACCCCTCAGCTATGATGTTTACCCACCCCTCAGCTATGATGTTTACCCACCCCTCAGCTGTGATTATTATCCACCCCTCAGCTATGATGTTTACCCACCCCTCAGCTGTGATGTTTACCCACCCCTCAGCTGTGATGATTATCCACCCCTAAGCTGTGATGTTTATCCACCCTCAGCTGTGATGTTTATCCACCCCTCAGCTGTGATGTTTATCCACCCTCATCTATGATGTTTACCCACCCCTCAGTTGTGATGTTTATCCACCCTCAGCTGTGATGTTTATCCACCCCCTCAGCTATGATGTTTACCCACCCCTCAGCTGTGATGTTTACCCACCCCTCAGCTATGATGTTTACCCACCCCTCAGCTGTGATGTTTATCCACCCCTAAGCTGTGATGTTTATCCACCCCTCAGCTGTGATGTTTATCCACCCCTCAGCTGTGATGTTTATCCACCCCTAAGCTTTGATGTTTACCCACCCTCAGCTGTGATGTTTATCCACCCCTCAGCTGTGATGTTTATCCACCCTCAGTTGTGATGTTTACCCACCCTGAGCTGTGCTTTTTATTCACCCCTGTGCTGTTTATTCACCCCTCAGCTGTGTTGTTTATCCACCCCTCAGCTGTGCTGTTCATCCGCCCCTCAACTGTGTTGTTTATCCACCCTGAGCTGTGCTTTTTATTCACCCCTTAGCTGTGCTGTTTATCCACCCCAGAAGTGCTGTTTATGCACCCCTCAGCTGTGTTGTTTATCCAACCCTATGTTGTGCTGTTCCTCTACCCCTCAGCTCTCCTGTTAATCCACCCCTCAGCTGTGCTGTTTATCTACCCCTCAGCTGTGCTGTTTATCCACCCCTCAGCTGTGCTGTTCATCAACCCCTCAGCTCTGTTAATCCACCCCTCAGCTGTGCTGTTTATCCAACCCTATGTTGTGCTGTTTATCCACCCCTCAGCTGTGCTGTTCATCAACTCCTCAGCTCTCCTGTTAATCCACCCCTCAGCTGTGATGTTTATCCAACCCTATGTTGTGCTGTTTATCCACACATTAGCTGTGCTGTTTATCCAACCCTGTGCTGTGCTGTTTATCCACCCCTCAGTTGTGCTGTTAATCCACCCCTCAGCTGTGCTGTTTATCCACCCCTCAGCTGTGCTGTTTATTCATCGCTACCATGCTCTTATCTGCGTTAGGCAAGGACAACCTTTTCGCTTCCTTACCGTATTTAATGATTTAAACAGGCACCTAAGAGGTGTTTCTGATTTGACCCTAATAAATGATAATGATAAATGAAACTAGCAAGAGCTAAATGAAATTTTTCAGAAGTTAAATGAAACTTTTAAAAGCTAAATAAAGTCTGTGACAATTTTATAAAAATCTATGCGAGCTAAACGAAACTTTTTCAAATGTAATGAAATCGTTGAGAACTAAATGAAACCGCTAAGAACTAAATGAAATATTTGGTAACAAAATGAAACCAAGGAGAAGTGACAGGATGAAGAAAAGTAAAACCATACCGATAATGTTTGCCTTATCAATCCATTGTTTCGTTTTGACAATTATTTCTGTCAACTTTGTGACCGGCACACACACATCCGTTACAAATGACTGGAACAACAGTTGCATAATTAGACTGAACTAGTTGCAGACATGACGATTTTCTCCTCTCGCTCATCCACATTCCATCCTCCTCCTCATACTCCTTCTCATTCTTCTCCTCCTTCTTCTCCTCCTTCTTCTCCTCTCTTCTTCTTCTTCTTCTTCTTCTTCTTCTTCTTCTTCTTCTTCTTCTTCTTCTTCTTCCTCTTCTTCTTCTTCTTCTACTCCCTCTTCTTCTTCTTCTTTTTCTTCTTCTTTTTCTTCTTCTTCTTCTTCTTCTTCTTCTTCTTCTTCTTCTTCTTCTTCTTCTTCTTCTTCTTCTTCTTCTTCTTCTTCTTCTTCTTCTTCTTTTTCTCTTCTTCTTCTTCTTCTTCTTCTTCTTCTTCTTCTTCTTCTTCTTCTTCTTCTTCTTCTTCTTCTTCTTCTTCTTTTTCTTCTTCTTTCTCCTCCTCCTCCTCCTCCTCCTCTTCTTCTTCTTCTTCTTCTTCTTCTTCTTCTTCTTCTTCTTCTTCTTCTTCTTCTTCTTCTTCTTCTTCTTCTTCTTCTTCTTCTTCTTCTTCTTCTTCTTCTTCTTCTTCTTCTTCTTCTCATGCTTCTTCTTCTACTCTTCTTCTTCTCTTCTCTTCTTTCTTCTTCTTCTTCTTCTTCTTCTTCTTCTTCTTCTTCTTCTTATTCTTTTCTTCTTCTTCTCTTCTTCTTCTTCTTTATCATTTCTTCTTTCTCCCCTTTCCTCTTCTCTTCTCTTATTTCTTCTTCTTTCTTCTTCTTCTTATTCTCCTTCGTCTACTTCTTCTTCTGCGTTAACCTGTAAACGGACAATTTGCGCGAGGTATTGTGGTTTACAGCTAGGCTATTATAGCTATGCATTTTGGTCCAATACATCCTATTTCAGCAAACCCTGATTAGTCGGAATTTACGACATGCTTGCTAGTGGGTCTATTCTCTTCCCGTCCCCCTCCCCTCCCCCACACAGAGAATAGCCCCACATGAAGAATTGGATACATCCACCAATAAAAAAGACAATATCTTTACCGTTGAGCCAGGAACCAAGGCATTTACGGCGTCAATTGACTGCCGGTCAAAATGTACGCGAGGCAGGGACACTCTTCGGAGCTGAGGCAATTTTTGCTTCTGCCGGACGGTGGCCGATGCATTTTTGCTCCATTTGTAGACTGGATATAGTTTCGTCGCTCAGCTTCTGAGATGAATGCATGGCGTGACACTGTGAGCTGTAGATTTCATTTGGAATGTTTTTTCGACTGTGACCAACGTGGTGGTGTGAATTGTAGATTTAGAAAATGGCACGATGCCCGTCGAGCAATGTTGGTGGTGCCCGTATGTGATTAAACATGATCGCGTGGGCAACTGCTGATCTGTTGGTGACTTCTGCTACCATCAATGATGAACTGCATTTCTAATGTCGGACTGTTTGTGTTAGCACTTTGGATGGCTACCGTATGCTTTAATGCGAGTGTATGCTAGATATGCTGAGACAGCAGTCTGTCAATCTTTCCACAAGGGACTGAGATAAACATTCTGTGTGTTTTTCGTTGGCACAGGAGCGGAGCAAAGATGGGGTGACCCGTTTGTTATGAAGCTGAAACTAAGACGACTACCAGATACCACCACCAGTAAATAAGACAATATCTTTACCTTAGAGCCAGGAACCAAGGCATTCACGGCGTACAACATTTCATGCCGGGCCTTCCAGAGTCGAGCCCTGTCCTCCGCCTGTTCCGCTCCAGTGAAACCGTAGCCGTTATTTGAGATACACAAAGTAGCTGTCGGGAAAATAACAGAATAGGGTATAAGGAGTGAGTGAGTGACTTTCTACCCCACTAGGACATCACACAAGCGATAAACACCTGATGACACAACATGCCACTATGTGGATGAGGATCACCGTGGAGAGGTCCCAGAAACCGCGTTCAGACATTTGACCATTTTTATGGCCTGCCTATATTGCAGCCCCTGGCAAAAGCCAGAGTGGGGCTTCAAATAACAAAAAATTTAAGCTATATATAGGGTATAAGGAAGCGGCTGCCACCATTTGTCTTCTTCTTCACGTTCAGCGCCAGTTTTGGCGGAAAGTCTTGGATGTTCGCATTTCTGGAGTTTGGTCTTGTTTCAGGATTTGAATTATTTTTTGTACAGACGGTTGGTTTCTCGCCTCAAAGGCAGATGCACTCCGACTTCGAAGGATATCTTCCGTTTTTGTTGTTGTTAGGGTGGGGGGGGGGGGTAGTGCTGCTAAAGCCGCGAAGCATGACAGAGATAAGTTATAGTTCCTTGTCTTTTGCTTGATGTGTAGCTTGTGCTTTCTGTTATACTGTGCTTCTGTAGCGTCTCTTTTACTGTATCCACCCATCTCTGTCTAGGTTGGCCTCCTGGTTTGTTCTAATGTAGTACGCTCTAGCTTTTGGCTGATTTTTTTCTCCATTCTGACCAGATGTGGCCAAACCATTTGATTCTCTGACGTTCTCCATTGGTGACTCTGTTGTCTCTAGTTGGTTCAATCACAGCATTACCGAAGATTCGAACCCACGTCTCCAGCACGAGAGCCTAGCGTTGTTCATCGTTCGGCCAACGCCACGCTGCTGTCGTAAAGTCACTATAGTTATAAAAGACACTTTCCCCGTCAGTGGCTTATTGGTTAAAGACACTTCTCAATGGCAGAAATGATCAGTATCAAGCCGATGCATTTTAAAAACGGTAACGCATAGGTTGAAAGCCAAAAGTCTTCTCCTTCGTTCACAGTTATCGAAAAAAAAAAAAAAAAAAACTTCTTCCCAGTGAAGTTTAGGCCCTCAACCAACTCACGATAAGACCTGCTATCCCTTGCTTGTGTATTATACTAACCCATTTCATCACTATCTTTTTAACCTGACTCGGTACCCATTCTAGCATGGATCCATCTGGGATCCTAGGTCAATGTTGATTAAATAAATAAAAAGTTAAACCCTTCTGGACGCAGATGTTCGCCCCAGACCCTAAGGTTAGCAGAAGAAGGTCAAGCCTCTACTTGGCTACCGCAGCTTCCGATCGAGCACAGACGCTGAGCACACTTAAGATACCCTGTCTTTCATCATCATCATCATCATCATCTACTCACCCCCGTTCTTCCTCCCTCCCCAGTACTGAAGTAATAACTGTATGGGATTCAGAAGCGCAGAAACCAAGAAAGTTTGGAGGGGGAGGGGAGTTCATATGGCTTAACCTTGTTAACAACATAATAATAATAATAATTGTTATAATTGTTATTATTATTATACCCTACTGGATGTAAAGAATCCCCTTCTGCGCCTTTAAGCGTATTGGGCGTATAGGGCTAGAGCTTTTTTTTTGCAGACCACTTATCGGCATTCGTTGGGGGATGTCGTTAACATCACACGAGCCGCCTTTACTTCCCAGGACTTTTCATTGCACCCAATTAAGGCTGGGTCCAACTGGGAGAGTGAAGGTCATTTTTGGAGAGAAAAAAAAAAAGATCCCGGCTGCGACAGGATCTGAACCGGCGCACTTCGGATCCACTGAATGGCAAATAAATATAATACAATCTATGAAATAATATGAAATGTATAAACATATACCTATGAAGAGAATTTCTATGTTTGGATAACGCTGGCCACTTAGCCCCGTTTTCTCCCGTGTGGGTTCCGGGGCCCTATTATGGGGAAAATAAGAAAAGACCCACTGCCTACCTAAAAGCATGTCGTAAGAGTAGATTAATTGGGAGCTTCCTTCGAAATCGGAGCGCATCTGCCTGATAGGCAAGGAACCAACAGTCTGCACACAAATGTGTCAGATCTGTCAAATGGATGCACAACAACAATCAGGTTCTCGAACAGGACTGCAGTCCAAAAGTGGACGAACAACAAGAACTTTCCACCAGAGTTTACAGCTGGTAAACGAAAAGAAGAAGAAGAAGTCCCATTCTAAAGATGGGGGCGGGGGTATGACGGGGGTGGGTGGGTGGGTGTGCTCCTTCACCCTAGTTTTTTTGGGAGGGGAGGAGGGGAGAGAGAAGGCTCAAGGGGTCTGAGTCGTCGGGTTCTGGTGCCTGTGGTGGGACTAAGAGAGTTAACTATATCCTGTAAACTTAGCTATAAAACAAGAGAAAAACTGACTTAACTAATCTCGTTGAACAGGTGATGGACACTGGCCTCCGGCCCGTGGACCTCCATGAACAGCGAGTGGGCTACGGGCATGTGGTAGTCGGAGTAGGCGTTGAATGCCTTGATGGCGCTGTCGTCCAAAAATTCTGGTTGCAAAAAGCAAAACGTTTGATTACTGTTCTGTGGTCTAGGGGTTATTTTTTTTTCACAAACTATACATCTTCGGCATTTTCACTAAAGATGTTGTCAGTACAGTGGAGCAATATGAATCAGTCAATCAGTGATTCACCATGTCCTTTACAGAACGTCGCTCTTTTATTATTTCCTGTCTGCTTTCAAGGTCAATGCATCTTCAGTATCTATATCAAAGTCTGAAACAGGATTTAAGCGCAGAAGTGAAAGAACAACTAGAACTGTCCTCTCAAGTTTACAATCGGTTAACACCAATAATAATAGTAATAATAATAATAATAATAATAATAATAATAATAATAATAATAATAATAATAATAATAATAATAATAATAATAATAATAATAATAATAATAATAATAATAATAATAATAATAATATTAATAGTAATAATAAAGTTAATACTTTAAGGATACTGCCAACAAATGGGGTTCACCATCATCAAGTGCCTTGTCAACTTGCGTGGGCGGTTATGTCTCTCGACAACATAAGATCTTCAACCGAATGTATAAGTTCCATGCCATGAGAAAAAGGCCATAAAAAATCTTCTTGAGGTGTCTTCCTGTATCTTTTCTTCCACAGATCTTTCCAGTCATCACACCATTGTCCAGTGTACTTCGGATAACATAGCCCGAAAATGATGACTGTCTCTTGATAATATTTGTGACATGTTGTCTTCGGGATTTCTGCTCTTTCACAAAATCCGGACACGACCGGCTGCAGCAGACAGGACGTGCTGCTAATGTCACATGGTCGGGCTAACGATGCGGTAATTCAGCGGTTCTAAAACAGAAAAAAAATTATCTTTGACAGTGGCGAGTGAAAACAACTTAAATTTAAGTATCTGCGGTTGAGCCTTTCCTGATGATGGTTCTACGCAGAGTCTCTCTTAGTCTTTCCCGTTTTCTCTTTCTTTTCGGTGTCCATGTGAGGGCTTGATGGGGAAGTCTTGCCTTATCCATTCTGACTGCATGGTCGATATAGTTTCAATCACGTTGAGCGACCCACATTGAGAGTGACTTCCCTTCCCATTGATGCCTCGACCTGGCGTAGCGCTTGCTATGTCGCTGGGGTGCATCCTAGGTCGCACGACTGTATGCAGCGTATAGATAAAATTAATGTTAGTCTCCCCAGACCCCACCCATAGACACAATAGCTCACTTCTGATTGGTGGCTCCTGAGCCCCGTGAGTTTCGCACAAGGTTACGGGGGTGTTCCGCAATGCCATTGATATCGTGTGTTGTATATTTAGCACACCAGCGCTTTTAACACTCCAAAAACATGGAGAAACTGGGTCTAACACAATCCCCCTAGAGTGCGTGTGTGTGTCTGTGTAAAACGACCTAAAGTGAAACCTGCCCAGCACTGAAAGGGTTCAGACGGACAGAAAGGTATTGAAAAGTATACATACCACACTTGGCCACGGGAATGCCACTTGACACGATCTGTATCACAGTATCCACGGCGTCTTCGATCTTTTTGAAGTGGCAATATGCCACAACTGTCTGGGGTCGGAAACACATCAGCAGGTTAGTTGAATTTCCTTTATAGGAGGGACGAGTAACGCGTTGACAATGGTCTGCTGGTAGATCGGCAAGCTGTGAGAGGTAGCCCGGCTGTGGTCTGTATCCATAATTTTCTGCTTCTTCTTCTTCTTCTTCTTCTTCTTCTTCTTCTTCTTCTTCTTCTTCTTCTTCTTCTTCTTCTTCTTCTTCTTCTTCTTCTTCTTCTTCTTCTTCTTCTTCTTCTTCTTCTTCTTCTTCTTCTTCTTCTTCTTCTTCTCTTTCTTCTTCTTCTTCTTCTTCTTCTTCTTCTTCTTCTTCTTCTTCTTCTTCTTCTTCTTCTTCTTCTTCTTCTTCTTCTTCTTCTTCTTCTTCTTCTTCTTCTTCTTCTTCTTCTTCTTCTTCTTCTTCTTCTTCTTCTTCTTCTTCTTCTTCTTCTTCTTCTTCTTCTTCTTCTTTTTCCTCCTCCTCCTCCTCCTCTTTTTCATTTTCTCCTTCAGTTGGTAACTTACAGCCAGACTAAGATATCTTGAGTATTTCGGCATAACACAACGATATAATAATATCGCTAATTAGTTGTCTGCTGCGACATGCTCGTTATGGGACAGTTGCACCCCCCCCCCCCCCCCCGTTCCCCATACCCAAACGACCCTGAAATTCACCTAGCACCCTCACAACATCCGTGCCAACAATATTCTCCTCATGAATCTCTCTATCCTTAGGGTTGATCCTGCTACCAGCACGATTTTCTCTGAACTTCTTCTAGTGGCCTACAGGCATGACAGTAACCTCAAGGACATTCTAGTCAAGAGTCGGTTACATCCTGCCTCCGAGTCCCACTTCCAGACGGCCTCTTGCCACAGACTTGTATGCAGGACCCGTCTATACATGGTTCAGGGGACCAGTCTGGAATTCCCGAATGCCACCTTCCTGATACGTGAAGCATTCTATTGCACAAGCCGTAATGTCATTTACGCCACCAACTGCAAGAGATGTGGCATAAAATACATCAGTAAAACTACGACTGGCTGACGTGTTCAGACATCTTTTGGATCTGCAGAACGGGGCACTGAAACCAGTACCGTTGCACTTCAATTCCCATTTACACTTTTGGGAATTTTAAAACTCAGGGGACTGAATTGAAAACACAATTTCATCTAAAATTATCGAGTTACGGCCCTTGGCATTTTAACGGCTATTTTTTCTTTGATTCAGTTTGTTCTTTTGCGATCACCTACGACTGGGAGGGGGGGGGGGTGCTCGAGAAGAAAGACCCACCACCCGAAGAAATAGAAAAGCGCAAAAAACTTGACAGATTTCACGATGAACGCAACACAGCCCTTAACCAACTGGGCGCGTTCAGGCAAAAATAAAGGAAACAAGGCACGCCCAACAGAAGAAGTTATCGCCAGTTCTAAAGCCACTAAAGAGAGCCCACTGAATACGCCGCCATCTTCACGGACAGCACACCAAACGATCGCCAGACCTGATAGCAGAAGCCAGACCCACAGAAAGTCCCGCCCTTCCTGTTCCAGGCCGCCCCAGGCAAAAATGGCAGTCCTTTTCAGTGCTGCCAGTTCCACTCCCAAAAAACTGGAAACCGCCCGCCAAGCCTATGCCGCTGACATGATGATTGCAAATAGATCGAAACTTAGGCGAAAATGATCGCCGCAAAGAAACAAACGAAATACAGATAGCAAAGAAACCGTCCTCGATAAAGCAGGCCTTCGGGCGGCTGAAAGAGGACAGAGCTTGACATTTTTGTTTTCTTTTTTTTTTTAAGTTCCAAAAGTTCTTTTCATTGCACTGACAAGACATCCATGTGGTTGCATCTGGACACGTGAGTTACGTGATTTTGTGCATCCGTGTGGTTTTGTTTGATTTATGTCTGTGCTGACAAAGGAGCCGCAACGTTCACGTTATGTGTGTGTTTGTTATATCCTGAAGCTCCCTGATATACTTTTCGTTCGATTTTGTTATCTTTCCTTGATTTTATATATTTTGTTAGAGGTACCGTACAAGGATTATCTAGACATTTGTTAAAGTTTAACTTTTTTGAAACCGCACTACAATAGAAAAAACACAACTACTGAAAAACCTGCAATAAAATGCTCGTGTTCTCTCCCTGCCTTCTCTCTGGGTCTCACTCGACCTCTCCCCCTCTCAACGTTCCCATCATCACAATGTACTCCAACTTCCTTCTCCAGCTCTCTTTTCCGTGTGTTTTTTGGCCTTCCTTTATTCCTATGCCCCTGTGGGTTCCAATGCAAAGACATTCTAGTTATGTTAATTTCCTGTTTTATCAGTGTGTGTCCTATCCAACGCCAGCGTCTTCTCCTCACCTCTTGGTCAACTGGAGCCTGTTTAATTCTCTCCCAAAGCTCTACATTAGTTATTCTATCATACCATTTAATTCCCTCTTTTCTGCGCAGGCACCAGTTAATGAATGTCTGTAATTTATTAGTAATTGTCGTAGTTGTTCTCCATCTTTCCGCCCCATACAATAGTACTGATTTGACATTAAAAATAAAATTTTTTACTTTAGTTTTTCTTTTAATTTTTGTTTCACCTCCACAAATCCCCTATGAAAGCCCCTCTTGCCTTTTGTATTCTTATTTTAATATCTCTATCAGTTCCTCCATCTTTATCTACATTACTGCCCAAATAGGTGTACGACTCCACGTCTTACAGTGGAGTGCCATTTAGAGAATAATAATAGCATCATTTAGAACAGCGACAAATCTGTATTTACGAGGATTTTATTTTCAAAATTGGCCCGCCCTCACGGGTCAACCAAGTCTAAAATAGGTATCAGGCAATATCCTGGAAAGTCAAGGCGGTCGGTGATATGTTGACTACGTCGTCCCCTAAGTGCCGAGTGCTCTACACATATGAGTCTAGAACGATATACGGCCGAGAGGCCACTGTCGGGAAAATTATCTATCCATTTTAATTTACTTATTACCAAATATCATCATCATCAAGTGCCTGCCAGCTGGCGTAGACATTCATGTATCTCCACAGATCTCGGTTTGTGGAGTTCCGGGTCAATTCCATTGTTGATATTCTCCCATGCGAGTGTCTCAAGCCATCCTTTTGGTCTGCCCCTGCCTCTTCTACCAGCGATCTTCCCAGTCGTCTTGATATTCTCCAGTGCCCCTTTTTCATCACATGACTAAAGATCTTTGTTTACCAAGAGTAGAAGAAAGAAAAAAGCTCGTTGGAAACTATCTAAAAACTGTCACCTTTTCTGGAATGCCGTGCATTTTGACTGTTGCTTGAGTGATGATGCCCAAAGTCCCCTCCGACCCAACAAACAGATTGGTCATGTTGAAGCCAGCCGATGTCTTCCTAAAGACAAGCATCATTGCCACATGAACAAACTAAAAACCGCATATGACTCATCATTACCGTGTAGCAAAGTTCTTGCCACAATGATGCCCCCATCAGAGCTCGCGTGAAAGAACCTCGGCGCCTCACTTGCTCTTCTGTATCGTGCACTGTCCAGCCCAGGGTGTTTCTGATGTCCTGTGCCCGTTTTCGTGCTGGTCTTCCCCTGCCCCTCTTACCCGATACCAAGCACTTCACTATCCCTCCCCTTCCTCCATCACCGTAGAGTTTGATACAGCCAAAGTGTTCCAGTTTCCGAGACAATATGCTGTTTACGAGCCAATTTTCTTCGATCTTTAGAACTCTTAGGATGAAAGAATTGTTTTTGTTGATGCTAAAATCTATGGCCAGGAAGTTCAGAGATGGAACGCCTAGTTACAACTGAACGTGTCAACCCAATCTTTTTCTCGTGTGGGTTCCGAAGCCCCATTTTAGGGGGAAAAGAACACACACACTGCCACCTAACACGCATGTGGTAACAGTCGACTAATCAGGGTTGTTTCATTCCAAGTTAGAGTGCAATGGCATAAGAGGCAGTCTGCATACGGATAAGCTAGATGTGTAAAACGGATGTCTACGCAGTACTTATGTTCTGGAGCAAGGCTTAAGTCCATACATGGACGAATAACCAAAACTGAATGCTAAAGGAAAAACAAAGAAGAAGAAGAAGAGGAACCGAAGTCGTTTCAAACGAATAATAGAACAGAAGAAAAAAAATCTAAGCCCAAGCACCTCAAGGGAGAGGGAGGGTCCCATGGCGAGGGGAGAAAATTAAAACGCAAATGTGAATAGTGGGAATAGTAGGAGTCGTTGCACAAAGAATTACAAATTAAATATACATGATGAGAGATCACAACAATTAAGCTCAAAAATGCATAACGGAATGACACAAATAATGATGCAAAGCAGGTAAACGGTATTCTGATTTGTCTTGGAGATATCCCACTCCGAAATGTGGAGTCATACTCCTTTTTGGGTTGGAATCTAGATACATGGGAAAAAAAAAAGGGGGGGGGGATTGATAGAGATATTAAATTACGAATACAGTAGGCAAGAGGAGCTTTCAAGGCACTGGGAAACATGTAGAAGTAATACTAAACTCAACATGCAGAACAACTGAAACAGTCACTAATAAATTACAAACATTCATTATTTGGTTCCTGCACAGAATAGAGGAAATGAAATGGTGTGATAGAATCACTAATGTAGAGCTTGGGGACAGAACTGAACATTTTCTAATGAATCAAGAGGTCGAATAGTTCCGAAATGTGAAAATTTTCCGCGTGTGAGCAAGTGTCTTATAGTTGTCTTCCTGTAATATGAACGGGTTAGTCATGTAGTGGAATTGTGTGAGACACAGGTGGGTCTTAAGCGGGTCCGTCGTCCTGGGTTGTGATTCGGTTGTGTTGATAGCCTCCGGTGTACGTAAATACCATATACCGGACCGTCCACTGTCGTCTTGAGATGCAAATGATCGTTTACCGTTGTTGTGGCATGTGGTCAGAACCAAGCCAGTCTGTGGGAATGGGTTGGGGGGTTAAGCACATAGTGCATCCGAAAGATTTAGGGAAGGAAAAAAAAAGGGGAGCACTAGGCCATGCTGTCAATTCTCGTTTTAATGGCTTGCTGGATTCTACAATGGCTTTTAGCAAAAACTATGTGATATGAACCTTCATGTGTGATTTCTAGTGAATTCTGAACACGGGTGGGTCACGCGCACCGTCGTCCTGGGTTGTGATTCGCATGCCTCCCTATAGCAGAACGAATCACTGTCGTCTGGAAAGATGCCAATCAATTTACCGTCTGACAGTGCAGAACCAACCAATCTGTCTGACTGCTCGTTTCCGAACACACAGATATGAAAAAATATTATAAGAAAGCTCACCAGCTGTGCTGTTTATTTATTCTTGTGTGTGTGTGCATGTGTCTTTATTTACAATTAAAGTAGCAAAAGTATTAGATATGAACCTAGTGAGTGATGCGAGATGTACCGTGTTACATTCAGGCAGTGTGATGAATTTACGTTCTGCATATGTGTGTACGATGATGATATATATATAATGTGTGTGTGTATATATATGTATGTGTCATCCATGTTTTGTATTTTTACTTGTTATACTCCTATTATGTGTACATTCACAAACATAACATACTGCATAGATAAAATAAATTGCCATGTAAAAGATGAGTGTCTGGAAAAACCGAACCTTGAACTCGTAAGATGGGCCTGCGTGTTCAATCTGTGACTCTCTGAAAATGAATGTCGTTCGTTCGTTAGCTGTGAAGTTTATTGATGCATTCACTGTCCTGTTGTCACACAGAGCTCACAGTCTTTATCTCCATTCTGTTTTATCCTGTGCAATCACTTCGATATCATGGATGGAATCGGGCCCAGCACCTTTGGCTTCTCTCACCAACGTTCGCCTTAGGGGTTTCTCTTGGGCGTCCGATTTCCCGAATCCCTCTATTTCGCATTTCACTGCCTGTTTGGTGATTCTCTGTAAAGTACCCTACTGTTACTTTTGTATATGGCTGAAGATTTTCTGTGATTTGCTCCTGACGTATTAGCATCCAAACTGCTTAGGTCATGTGACTTGGAAATTTTCAAGCTACAATCCACGAAGGTTCAACAAAAAAGTAAAAAAAAAAAAATCCAAAATATTAAAACAATAAAAGGTATTTGCAGTGACAAGAACCAGCAACCCACTTTGCCCGCCTGCCCTTGCCCGAGGTGTGGATGATCCGTCCATCAGGTAGGACCACTTCCAGATTCAGCACGTTTTCCCTCATGGTCCCATACTTGACAGCGTTGGTTCCTGAAGCACTAGTGGCACACATGCCACACACCGAGCAGTCGGCACCAGGATCTGTTGTAGCAAAAATGTCATTTGAAGCAAGTGTATTTCAACAAAATATGGTCTCCAGCATGATCTATTGCAACAGTACGTAGTCTGTATGGAATCTTTACAGACAAAGAAGAAGGAAAACACGAAAGCTGATGTGTTATGGCCATGTTAAAGGTCACGATGGCATTGAGAAAACAGCAATGGGGGGTACAGTTACGAGAAAACAATGTAGACGCCGACCTCTGCAAATGTATGTGGATACAAGACGCTTCAGATACATCAGCTCTGAAAACACAGAGGGCTGGGCAATTGGCTAGACAAAGAGGGACTTTCAGGCGTGTCGTGTCTGTTGCCAGGTTTTGTACAAGACCTGTTGATACTGGTAATGACGGGATCTTTAAGGGAGCTCCGGTAGCTAGTCACATCTAGGCAGATTTATATTCAAACTGATCTCGACCCAGCCTGAAATATTTACTTTGAAAGCAAAAAGTGGTCGGCGTGATGTTACCACAGCACCCTCCTACTGCCGATTGGTCTACACACTTATGGATTCAACACGATAGATCAGATGCCGCGACTGGCGTAACAAAATGATCCTCTGCTTGATATGATATATTGTAACAAACAAAGTTCAGGCTGTATCAGGATCTGTTGTGTTTTGCCAGGCACGCTAACGTGCAAGGAAACGAGCAGGCTGATAGCCTTGCAGGTAAGGCTACTGTGAAGGTCGGACGAGCCATGAACCATGCTGACATACTGAATGCTCTACGAGTAGTAAGATGTTTGTGAGAACCAAGTGCCTGTGAATCTGCAACCGAGACCAGACTGCAAGAACAGCGGGTTAAAAGGGGTGTGGCCAGACAAGAACACTTTGCAGGAAGCCAAAGAAAAGTTGAGTTGAGTTGACTCAAGAACCGACAACCCAGCACTCGAGGTAATCACATAAGCACTACGTCCGCATCTTCATCAACCAGCGCAGAGTTCCAATACCAATTGTGCCAGTAGCAGTCTGAATATACGTCCGCCTTGCCTTTCCTCTGAGTGTCGAGTATCGACCAGATCCCCTTGACACTCGTCGTTGCTGCACTATCACAAGACAGTGATGATCAATTTGCTGTTCTGATTTTTAGACGGACTTCCATAAGTCCTTAACCACGTCTGCCTTATCATGCATTAATAGTCCACCAAGTTGTTCAGTGTCAGCCAGTCTGTCCATGTGTTCATTTCACAGCACACCGGCATGCACGAAAAAAAAAAAGATCCAGCCAAATAGGACATCTGGTGGGTTACAACAAGAGAGAGAGAGAGAGAGAGAGAGAGAGAGAGAGAGAGAGAGAGAGAGAGAGAGAGAGAGAAGAGAGAGAGAGAGAGAGAGAGAGAGAGAGAGAGAGGAATCGATGTGCTCTTTCTACCGGTTTTCCCAATTAAAACTTTTTAATTTTACGCCCCCCCCCCCACCTTACCTTTTGTCTGGCTCCTATTACTTGACCTGTCTAATATGGGAGGCCCAACCCGTCGCTACGTTATCATTGACAGACCTCTTGAAGTCATTGAAACTCACACGCCCTCACATACACGTCAGCAAAGTTAAGACACAACACAGGAGCATTGAGAGTCCGTAGCCAGCCTTCATTAGGTGTCCACGGCGAAGATGTTACGTCGTTTGTCTCGTGCACTGGAGGCGAAGGGTTCGATTTCCTAACTGTCATTCAGTTCGCAAATATTAAGAGACCTTTCCATGTCGTCGCTGGGGCTAAGGTTACGTGCTTGGTGCACAATTCTCGCGGGTGACTAGACGATCTAAAGATAAAGACTAAACACTTTGGAATCAAACTCGACGTGATCTTCTTCTTCTTCTCTGGCGGAAAGTTCTGGTTGTTCGTCCACTTTTGGACTGCAGTCCTGTTCCAGAACCTGGGTGTTGCGTATGCATCCGTTTTACAGATCCGACTCATTTGTATGCAGACTGCTGATTCCTTGCCTCTCAGGCAGATGCACTCCAACTTCGAAGAAAGCTCCCAATTAGTAGACTCTTACGACATACTTTTTGGGTAGGCAGTGCCCCCCCCCCCTTTCCCCTATAATATGGCCCCGGATCCCACACCACACAGGGAACTCGACGTAATGAAGTAGATCTTCTTGCCTTTAAAATACCATTTACATCCTGGTTTAGGAGACAGTACATGATTAATTGACTTACTGTGCAATAACAAACAGGAGACAGGATTACCTATAGGAAACCACATGCCTGTATCTCGACAGTAGCTGTTCAAAGCCTCCCGGGTAATGCCTGGCTGTACCGTTACATCGAAGTCCAGGCCATTGACCTCAACTACCTTATCCATGTTCTTCATATTTATGGAAACGCCACCCTACAATGAGCAAAACCACATCATCATCATCCTCATCATCATCATCATCATCATCACCATCATCATCACCATCATCATCACCATCATCATCACCGTCAATATCATAATCACCATCATCATCATCACGAAACACTTTCTCTGCAAACATGTTTTTCTCATTACGACACGCCGGAAAGCCACTCGGTCCCTTGCTAACTTGCCCACCACGTAAGTATTCAGCACGAAAGAACAATTCTGCATAGGCCTTGTGTCGCACAGTGGTACCTGCCGACTTTGGGTTATGTAGCAGTGAAAGGGTTGTCTCTCCGTGCTCAGAATGTCTTTGATATCCTGTGTTTACCGCTAAACTGATCAACCCCTGCCTCTTCTTCTAGGTGCCATACTCTCCGTCTCTGTTCTTTCCAAACCATCATGGCGTTTCTTATGACCGAGTATTTCGGTTGCATGTGCTTTACAACCGTGCTCCGTCCACTTGTGGTCCGTGGACCACTGGAGGGTTGCCGAAATGTAGCGGCTACGCTAATTTGGAGTTTGCATTGCTGCCTAGAGAGTGAGACTTTGCTTGCAGCATTTATAGGGTGTTCCTAAAGTCTCACCAGGCTTGGTAGGCAGAATAAATTTTTAAAAAATCAAGTACATGACATAATTTTTTTTTAAGTGCGTAAAAAGTCATTAAATTAGTTACAGTAGTCACTAGTATGGTCTAAAACTCTTTTAGGGTTGTTGGGAAATACAAAGTAAATATTCATGATGAGAAATCTTGGAAATGCCCAACAAGACTGCATTAGCCTCTTCTTATCAAATGCTTTCTGCATTGTGTCCATTATTATATCTAGATTGGTAATTTCCAATGCTTCCGCTAATAATTCATTATGTTAGAACGCAAAGAATTACGCCAGCAGACAACTAGCATCCACTGCATATTGCTTCGCGACTGACTGTGGAGCACTTTTGGATGTCGTAACGCGCTTCTTCCCCCCCCCCCCCCTTTTTCCCACATTTTTTCAACAGACGAAGCGTAGTGAGACTTTACAAACACTCTGTATATATAATATTGTCTGCCTTCTAAGCAGCAGCAAAAATCGCTTTTGATGCAACCTAAATTTGCGACAGCGGATTTATCCAGTAAACTGCTATCTACTTTAATGTCTGATGTTCATTAGCTGTCAGGTTGGCCGCGAAACAATCTCCAATTGTTTTATGCTGGTGTTAAAAAAGGTTGAAGAACACTGCGTTAAAACAGGACGTTGAGGAGCCAACCCGAGCATTTGTGTGGACTATTTTACTGTTGTTCGACCCTCTCTTATAAGCCCGAAAATAGACGAACAAGATTCGACACTTAACAACAGGACGAGTACATACTTGTACAGCATTGACTCCGCCTTCAAGGCCAGTCCCTGTTCCATAGGGAACTACGGGGATGCGATTAGTGTTGCAGAATGCAACAACTTTGCTGACGTACTCCACGGAATCTGGGAAAACTACAACATCCGGCATAGCCGACCTGAAACAATCAAAGTTAGTTGCGTATCCTTTACAGGACGTTGCAGAACCAACCCAGCATTTTGATGCTGTTGTGATTTTTCTAGGCAAATGTACGTCCAGTAGCTTGCCATTGCCTTCCGGACGGTCGGCTTCTCCATACCACTGTCGAAACCAACGCAAGGCCCGCAACTCAAAGAGAACCCGGCACCCTGGCAATACGAAGCGCGTTCGCAACACCTAAGCCACAGACGCCGATAATCAACGTAATATAAATTAGATATTCAAGTATCATCTCAGGTATAAGGCAGTCGCCGTGGTCTAGCGGCTAGACACTCGCCTACGGATCAGAAGGTCGTGGGTTCAGGACCTGGCGGAACCGAACATTTTTTTCCAGAAATTACTTTGGCTCCCAGGCCGACCCAGCCTTGAGTGGGTACCAGGTACAAGTCTTGGGATGTAAAGGCGGTCGAAGTGATGTTGACCACATCACCCACCAAGTGCCTACTGGTCCATAACAATAGGTCTAGCCCTATATGCCCAATACTCCTAGAGGCGTGAGAAGGGTCCTGTCCTTTCTTGTAGAGACCAAAGCATGACAGTTGTTAGATTGACAGAAATGACAAGATTATAATGTTCAGACTGACATCGAGACATAGTTTACATGGTGAAGTCCTGAGAAGTGAAGGCAGTTGATCACATCACCTCACCCACTTAGTGCCGATTGATCTATAAAGTGTAGGGCCCCTTCCCAAAAATTTGTTTTTGTTTTTAAAAAGGGAAAAAAAAAGGGGGGGGGGTGGTTAGCCTCTGTGGCGATTCGGCCCCCCCCCCTCATCCCAGCTTTTCCAGAATTTCCCCGATGGTGGGGGGAGGGGGGTGTTTGTGAAGGCATGTACGGATACACTAGAACTATAGTCGAACATAGAACTGGACGTCGGGGTTAGAGGCGCCGCAACAAAGAGAATATTGGGGGGGGGGGTGTTGTTAAGACACGTACGGATACACTAGAACTATAGTCGAACATAGAACTGGACGTCGGGGTTAGAGGCGCCGCAACAAAGAGAATATGCGGGGGGGGGTGTTTGTGAAGACACGTACGGATACACTAGAACTATAGTCGAACATAGTGCTGAACGTCAAGGTTAGAGGCGCCGCAACAAAGAGAATATGGGGGGGGGGGGACTATTCTCTTGCCTAACAAGTGGATGGGTTGGGGAGTGGGATAGGGGTGAGGGTGGTTGGGGGGGGGGGGGGTTAGTGCTTAAGGCGCCTAAGCCAAGTTAAAAGCTTACAATAATAATAATAATAATAATAATAATAATAATAGTAATAATGGAAAAAAAAGTTTTAAAAAAATGTCTGGAAATATGTTAGAAAGAAAAAGCTCAATTACTTTTTCTATGCACACGCGCGGAGGGGTCAGCTTAACCTCGTTACAAATTGGGAGGGGAGGGGATCAATGCCTCCAGCTCCCTGGACCTAGTGGAGGGTGGAAAGGGGTTCAATGCCTCCAGCTCCCTGGACCTAGTGGAGGGTGGAAAGGGGTTCAATGCCTCCAGCTCCCTGGACCTAGTGGAGGGTGGAAAGGGGTTCAATGCCTCCAGCTCCCTGGACCTAGTGGAATGGAGGGTGGAAGGGGGATCAATGCCTCCAGCTCCCTGGACCTAGTGGAATGGAGGGTGGAAGGGGGATCAAATCCTCCAGCTCCCTGGACCTAGTGGAATGGAGGGTGGAAGGGGGATCAAATCCTCCAGCTCCCTGGACCTAGTGGAATGGAGGGTGGAAGGGGGTTCAATGCCTCCAGCTCTCTGGACCTAGTGGAAGGGGGATCAAATCCTCCAGCTCCTTGGACCTAGTGGAATGGAGGGTGGAAAGGGGTTCAATGCCTCCAGCTTCCTGGATCTAGTGGAATGGAGGGTGGAAGGGGGATCAATGCCTCCAGCTCCCTGGACCTAGTGGAATGGAGGGTGGAAAGGGAAGATTTGGGTGGGAATGGGGAGGATTGGGGAGGGGTAGGTTGGGGTGTGGGGGGGGGGGGCGTCTTGAACAAGGACTTACGTGTGGTAGGACTCATCGTGGCTGTGCTGCTCTCTGACAGCCTCTTCTGTGAAAACCTTTTTCTCCCCAAGGAGATCCCTGAGAGACTTAACGGTGGAGTCTGTGACTTTGTTGAAGGAGATCTTGAATCAAACACAGAAGGTCTCATCAATGTGTTATCATTTTAAAGAGTATGAATAAGGTAGATGCCTGAAACACGTGGACACTATTTATCCCAGTTAAAACCTTTGGCGGAAGATGATATTATTTTGTGAAAACTACTGCCATTACTAGCACCAGCATCGCCATTACTACTTCTCCTACTGCCACCACCACCATTGCTACTCCTAATACCACCATCGCCATTACTACTTCTCCTACTGCCACCACCACCATTGCTACTCCTAAAACCACCATCGCTATGACTACTTCTACTACTGCCACCACCACCATTGCTACTTCTAATACCACCATCTCTACTACTACTTCTACTACTGCCACCACCACAATTGCTACTTCTAATACCACCATCGCCATTACTACTTCTACTACTGCCACCACCACCATTGCTACTTCTAATACCACCATAGCTATTACTACTTCCTCCTACTGCCACCACCACAATTGCTACTTCTAATACCACCATCGCTATTACTACTTCTACTACTGCCACCATCACCATTGCTCCTCCTAATACCACCATCGCTATGAATACTTCTACTACTGCCACCACCACCATTGCTACTCCTAATACCACCATCGCTATTACTACTTCTACTACTGCCACCACCACCATTGCTACTCCTAGTAACACCATCGCTATTACTACTTCTACTTCTGCCACCACCACAATTGCTACTTCTAATACCACCATCGCTATTACTACTTCTACTACTGCCACCACCACCATTGCTACTCCTAATACCACTATGGCTATTACTACTTCTACTACTGCCACCACCACCATTGCTACTCCTAATACCACCATAGCTATTACTACTTCTACTTCTGCCACCACCACAATTGCTACTTCTAATACCACCATCGCTATTACTACTTCTACTACTGCCACCACCACCATTGCTACTTCTAATACCACCATGGCTATTACTACTTCTACTACTGCCACCACCACCATTGCTACTCCTAGTAACACCATCGCTATTACTACTTCTACTACTGCCACCACCACCATTGCTACTCCTAGTAACACCATCGCTATTACTACTTCTACTTCTGCCACCACCACAATTGCTACTTCTAATACCACCATCGCTATTACTACTTCTACTTCTGCCACCACCACAATTGCTACTTCTAATACCACCATCGATATTACTACTTCTACTACTGCCACCACCACCATTGCTACTCCTAATACCACTATGGCTATTACTACTTCTACTTCTGCCACCACCAACATTGCTACTCCTAATACCACCATAGCTATTACTACTTCTACTTCTGCCACCACCACAATTGCTACTCCTAATACCACCATAGCTATTACTACTTCTACTACTGCCACCACCACCATTGCTACTCCTAATACCACCATGGCTATTACTACTTCTACTACTGCCACCACCACCATTGCTACTCCTAGTAACACCATCGCTATTACTACTTCTACTACCGCCACCACCACAATTGCTACTCCTAATACCACTATGGCTATTACTACTTCTACTACTGCCACCACCATTGCTACTCCTAGTAACACCATCGCTATTACTACTGCTACTACCGCTACCACCACCATTGCTACTCCTAATACCACTATGGCTATTATTACTTCTACTGCTGCCACCACCACCATTGCTACTCCTAATACCACCATCGCTATTACTACTTCTACTACCGCCACCACCACAATTGCTACTCCTAATACCACCATCGCTATTACTACTTCTACTACCGCCATCACCACCATTGCTACTCCTACTACTACCACCGCTGAAACAATTAGTAAAAGAACAAAAACAGTAGAACTATTACTACTACCTACTAGTACTAGTGCAACAACTGCAACCGCTACAAAACAACAACGACAATAACAAATAAGAACGACAAACAACAACAACAATAACAACAACAACAACTACTTCCACTACTACTACTACTAATACTACTAGGTTAGTTGCGTATCCTTTACAGGACGCTGCAGAACCAACCCCAACAGCCCCCGGCTGTTGTGTGGTTTTTCTCGGCAAATTTACGTCAAGTAGTTACTACTACTACCACTGACTGAATAATATACCCGTGGATTAATTATTTCAAAAGCTATATAACTATGTTGGTTGGAATAATGTACACGATTTGACTAAACAACCCACAAACTTCTCAAAGTTAATCGAGTTTTACGACACGCTTGTAGGGGAGGTAAGTGTGTCTGTTCTTTTTCTCCCTACAATGGAACCCGGAATCCACACGGGGAGGTATACTTCCAGAAAGAAAAGTCAGAGGACGACCCATCGGCCTATGATTCGCCGGTAGACGACTTTATCGTCGTTTAGGACAATAATTGAGTCTGTCTTCTTTGACTGCATCAACACTGCAGGAGTGCTTTTCAGGGTTGCTGTCAATGCTAATCCATTATATATGGCGCACATAACCTGGTCACAATTATAACCTAAAGTTGCCCCTTTCGGGGATGCTGGTCAAATGTGACGATTGTTCTCTCCAGCAAAGTACCTACTTACAGGGACGACCAGCACGACGGTGGACACAGGTCATCAAAGACTTCATGGGTGTGAAAATTCACAATGCGAGGCCGTTAGCATTGGAACTAGTAGTGATGGTGATGAGCGCGACAGGACGTGCTACACTAGCGGTTCTCAACCTGTGGGTCACGACCCTTTTTTGATTCCAATCTTTTCACAGGGGTCGCCAAAGACCACCCCAAAACAAATATTCATTGAAGTTACGAAGTAACAACAAAAATAATTGTATGGTTGGTGGTCGCCACAACATGAAGAACTGTATTGAAAGGTCGCGGCATTAGGAAGGCTGAGAGCCACTGTGCTACACGATGATGATGATGATGACTAAAGTGTCCACTCAACTTAGAGACAAGAGCAGGCAGAGAGAAGAATCTAATAAACACTATAACGAAAACAGCCACCTTTGGAGAGTAGTTCCTTTTTGTACAACCAGTCGTCTTGAATATTTTCTCTAAACTACGGAGTAAGACTCTAGAAAACATTTGTAGATATGATTAGTACGAGAAGTTAGCTACGTTCTCAGTGGACAACCCTGTTGAACGGTCGGGAAATTGAAAACAAGGATTTGTAATGGACGGCGGGAAATATCACGGATGGCATCAAATCAACCAGCAGTTACCTAGAGTGATGGGATTGTACCTTGGGAGAGGGGGGAATGCTTCCCAACATCCAGGAGGTTTCTTCATCTTCTTCTTCTGCGTTCGACATCAGTCATGCTAGACATTGAGTCCCGTCTGGGTCACAAATAGGATTGTGCGTTTAAGGTGGCGACCGGTCCACCATAGCTTCTCTTTCAATGTGGCTCCCTTGGGCCAGATCCACAGTCTTTGCTGGGAGGTTTCAAGGGGAAGAGATGTAATGGGGAGAAGGTATAGGGTTGGATGCCACACAAAGGTGGAGTTTTTGCTTCTTCAAAACTGAACTTGGCTCCAGGTTCGATCCACACCAAAAAAAAAAAAAAAAAAAAAAAAATTGATATTAGGTAATGTCGTTCACATCAATAAACAGTGGGGCAACCCTTAAAACAGTATAACTATTATATATATGTAATAAACAAACAGATCATGTACTGATGGGCACTCATAGAAAGAGGTAGAGGGATAGAAGGTCACACTAGACAACATAAAAATCGAAAGCATTAGTTACCGTGCCTGAAGAAGGACTGTCACCTCAAAATAGCATGTTCACCTCGCCATGTAAACAAGTGTGCTAAGAACATGTTCAACTAGGAACCAAAATACTAATAACTATAGTTTTCGATTTTTATGTTGTCTAGTGTGTCCTTCTATCTTTCTGTTTCTTTCTATGAGTGCCAATCAGTACACTATCTGGCCGAGCCAGGGTGCGTCCGGTTGCTTGATATGCCGTGATGTTATGTAGTCTCAGTCAAGGTGTCAGTGACTTCTTTATTATATATATATATATATCAACTGGTCAACTGGATCACATCAGCGCTATTCGAAAGAACAGTGTCATTGCGATGCATAGGCATCGAAACCTTAACGCCTCTTAGTTGGTCTGTCCCAGGGATCACCATCGTCGCCTGTGCTCTTCATTGTGTGCACAGCAGGAGTCACCAGTGCACAAAGCTTAGGCCTGGGCAGAACAATGTCGTATGCAGATGTTATCTTTGTGTACAGCTGATGTAGAAACAGACACAAAATTACAACCAGGCTACAACATGACAGACCTTGTGAGTGTTGTTAGGAATCAAGAGCACAAGTGAGCCAGTCAAAGGCTTTCTCAACGTAGTTCTCTCTTAAAATCCACATTGCCACTACACTCACGTCAGTCGTAGTTATGTGTGGTATAGACATCGAGAGAACGAAAACGATAAAGCAACTGGGCAAGGCATTTGACAGATGCTTGTCCTACAAGTATCACAGACGTCATACTTAGAGATAGAAAGGGTCTGACAGCACAAGATGCTAGTAACAGCCGATGTAAAACAACGCCTACATTTCCTTCTCTATCAAGGGCTTGACTAGGGTCTGGGCCTCCTCACTGTCGCAGAACCCAGCTAGAAAGACAGGACCGAGTACTGAATAAGGTCACGAGACATACTCGGTAGCACAAAAAGCACCGCCTGCCACGTCCTGGGTTTGGCGTCGATGAGGGCGTACATAAAGGTATTGGCAGACGTTAACAACCCACTGCACAAAGCTATACACGACACAAGAGGAATTGGTCTCAAAAGAGGCCGCTCCTGGATGGGCAAGGCTGAAGATTACAGTCACAGAAAAGAATGAACAAATTCACCGGTAGACAGGCATAGCATCTCTAAGATTGTCATCACGCTGGGAGGTACTGCAGTTATCGGATCCATGAGGCAGTAGGACACAGAGGTAAGGGCACTGGTAGATGAGCATTCACAAACAAAGACATCATCATCTACACAGTTGGATCCGTGAAGCGCGGATCAAGGTCAGCTTGGGCATACGTAGCACAAAGAATTGAGACCAAGACATCAACAAATGCGGGAAGAAGCATGGGCAGAGCAGATATCATCAGCGCTGCACGGACTGGGCTTGTGGATAATGACGAATCTCTGACACAAACACGATTGCTTGGGAGTAAAGCATGGTGAAGCACGTTTATGCCCCATCCGAGGCTGAGATAGGACACGTTATAACCAACCTTGAAGTGGCTGTTGCAACGGAAGACTGAGCACGCATGGGAATTCTCCACGTGCAGTGACGTCGATTTGTGATAACAACTTAGCTTGCTGGTTTGATTTCGTGCTCCACTGCTTTTTGACCAGGGCTGCCATTGATGGGATTTTACACCCCAGGTCTGGGTTTTTATTTGATGCCTTGAGTTGAGATTTTGGAATCTTGGTTTAAAAAAAATATATTTCCTTTTATAAAAGTGGGTAAGTATTTCGTTTCGTAGCTTTAAAGTTTGTACTTTTAACAATCTGGGTTTTTGTTTCGTTTATTGTTTTTTGCTTGGGTTTTTTTTTGTTCAGCTTAACTGGGTAAACAAATCCCATTGATTGGCAGCCCTGCTTCTGACTTCTGAGTTCCGGTTTATTCCGTGAGGGCGGGAAACAAGCGAGGCGTCTCTAACCGTGTTACTATTTCTACAGTATGTGCTACAGTAAACAGATTGAATGTATCATTTTCAGTCAGAGCATTGTATATTGCATCTCTTATATTCAGTGGTATTGTCCGAGTATAAAAAAATAGTAAGTACTTTAACTTTATTAAAACTTTTACGCAGCTACTAAAAAGTATGACCAAGTCAGCTTAATTATTTTTTTCCAAAAGGGTTGCTTGCCGCTTAATATTATTAATAATTATCAAACAAACAAACAAAGAAAAAAAAAAGCAGCTGAAATTCCAGTTAACAAAAATTATTTGATGGTGAATAACAGAAAGATCTCAAGACATATGTTTACAGTACTCTTTATTGTCTGTGTAAAAATGTTAAAACTTTACTTAACAATATGCTTTGCTTTAGCTTTATGACATAAACATTGCAATAAACAAAACTATAAATGAGCAAATACTGGTACATAACACTCCCCCTTGTGGGGGGGGGGGGAACAAGAATAGACCAGCTGCCTTTCCAGCAAGCATGTTGTAGGAGTCAATTAACTGGGGAATTCCTATAAAGTTGGTCAAATGAGTCAGGAACACGGGTGTACTACACGCACAACTCAGGCCCTGACACAAAGCAACAAAAAAAAAAAAAACCTAGGGCTTTCTGCCAGAGCATAATACAACAGGCAAACAAAGAAGAAGCTACACAACAATGATTAAATTAACATTTGCATCGTAAATTTGTTTCCATTTTTTAATAAAATTTTCTATTGTTTTGTTTCAGGACCAGCAACAGTTGTTTATTATACTTATTTTAATAAAAAGTCAATTCTCCTGGGGCAAAGTCCACTAAGAATTCAATAAAATTAAATGTCATGGGAAAAGAATCATCTGCTAGTGTCTCAGGCTCCTTCCAGTAATAAAGTTCTATCTTTGTTTTAAGAGGATTGGTCTTTCTTTGCACTTTTTTAATCATTTCCATGTATGCACAGTTCTTTCCTTCATCACACCAGATGTGACGAAGTAACACACCTGAAAGAGCGTTGGAGTCAATCATAAAATTCCTCAACTTATTTTTAGACTCTCTTCATCTACATCTTTAAACAAATTTAAAGAAAGTATTGAAAAAACTGTCCCTGAACGACTAAATTCTGTTGTTATAATTTTTTCATACTGAATTCTAACACCCTTGTCAAACGTCTGGAAATTTTCCTGCAATAATTTCTTTTGCTGCTCAGCCTGCTGCTGCCTTACCTTACATCCACGACTAACAGCAAAATTGATAAGATATTTTTGTAGGTCATCATCGAATGATTTTAGCCAGTTTGGTTTTGGATAGATTTCACCTCTGCGTCAATGAATCCGAGCTTAGCACTGGATGCTCTTCGCACAGCTGCATCCACAATTGGAAGAGATCTTTCTGCATGCATGTTATGAAGTGAGACAGAAGATGTCTTTGCAATTAACTCAGCAGATGGCTTAGACAAGGGTCCATGTAAGTAGTCTTTAAACTGCCGACTTAGTGTTTTAATAAAAGCTTCTGCTCATGTTTTTGACACTTTCTTAAAATAAAATCTTCAAGCGGAAACCTAGTTTGATTTAATTCAGACTTCTCCATAACCCCACCAAAAGCATCTTCAGCTTGTATTAGATGTTCTGGTTTAGATTCTACTTTCTTGAGGCTTTCTATGCATTCCTTCACCAGATGCACTGCCTCTAAATGTCCCTTCCCCTTGTCGTCTGTATAGAACAGCTGCATCCATGGCCCTGTTACAAAACGTGAATATAACCACAGCACCTGCAAATGAAGCAGGACCGTCTCATCTGTCAAGTTTTCACACATTTTCACACACAGCACTTTTGCTTGTCTGTGTTCAACAAACTCTGTCAATATCTCCCGCTGCAGGTAAACGACAGCTGCCATATGGAACATGATGTTTAGACGGTTCCCAACATAGCGCTTGAAGATGCTGGTATTATTTTTGTTTCGCAAAAAGGCCATGAATGCACCTGGATCACCAGACCCATCCTTATATCTAAGTTTAGAAATTTGGTGTATCAGTGCTGCAGCACGGCATCCCAATGCTCTGTTCTGTCTTGATTTGCAATATGATGCTGTAACCACCTACAACCTTTACAGTGTGAGATAAGACTAAAAAGTCAACCATTAATTCTTCCCTCCCACTTACGAGCCACACACACACACTATATGAGAGTGTTTGTAATTGCACACAGAAAAATAGCACATTTTTCCCCTGACACCGACAAACAATGGGCTATACAAGGGACGAACTTGCAGGAGATTTTCTGTAATATATGTGCACAGGCAAATTGTCTTGAGAACAGCCATGCATCATATTCAGTGGTGGCAATCTCCGAATAATATTAAATGAGGATATCTTTCAAAACATAACACGTCCCAACATCATAACACACTT